TGTGGTGTTTTAGGTAGAGCCCAGGTGATTCTCATACACTACACAAATTAGATCCACCAATATGCTGTGCTGTGGAGTTTAATTTTTTTCTTTTGGGTATGAACATGTGCCATATTATAACATGTAGTTATCTTTCATTTACTCACTAAAGTTTATCTATTCAAAACCTAAACTGAATTTTTGCTTTTCTCTTTAAAATTATCAGCATTCTACATGGAAGCCATATCAGACACCAGCGATACTGTACAGGATAATATGAATTACTTTGACTGATCTCTCAATGTCATTATGATTATTCCACCACTTTGATGTAAAGCAATGGTGCTCTCAGGAGCTATTGATTCCAAAGTAAAGTTTTCAAACTACTGTGTTTTTTAATTCTTTTGCTTTCTTTTCATAATTATTATTGGATCCTCTCTGGTTGCTTCTCAGATACCAAGCTCTGAAACTGTAACAACCTTGGCCAAGTGCAGCATTAAATAGAAGATTCCCCCCCAAAAGCACCTGCTACTGGTCATCTACAGTAAAACATTCACTGCTAACATCCAAAAGTTAAAATAAAAAAAACTGAATGCATGTTCATCTATGTTTAGGATATTGCAATCTTGCTTTCTCTGATAGCCTTTTCTCACCAAGCTCCTTGTAATTCAGTACATCCTATCAGTTCTTAAGCTTATGGAAGCAGCCCATTTGATGGTATTCTGGTGGTATTCTGGTGGATACCCCAAATGAAGTCACTCCTAAGTAAATGTCACAGAGCTTAGCTATGACGTATCCTATATGAAAAGACATCTGTAGCACATAGCTCCCTTGCTATCTCTCTTTGTCTGTTCATGGATTTCCCAGTGTTCTTTTAGGCCCTGAACCATGGGATGTGATACTTGATAATTATTCTTACCACCATTTTTAAGAGTTCAGCATGGGTTTACTTCCCAAACAACTTTAACGTCCTATTTACAATCTAGCACCCCCAAGATGCATCACAGCTGGCCTCTGACTGACTCTGTGACCAACTCCTCCAATTTCTCTTATAATCTCCTTTTATTCCTCCCAACCTTGTTAGACCTAACCTCTTTTACTGATTATACTTTCAAAGGTCAGATACATATAGAGTATGGTATGGGGAGGTAGTAGATAAGATAGTAACCCCTCCACCCCCCCGCAATGTATTACAATCACAATTCTAGATACAAAAAAAAATCACTTATAAAAACTTACTGAGTTTGCACATATGTCAACATTGAGCTAAAGAGCTTAAGAGCTTACAAACATTACTTGATGTAATCTGCATAACAATTACATAAGTACCCTCATTTTATACATATAAAGGCAGAGATTGGGGAAAAAAAATATTGCAGAGCTTGGAAAAAATACTCAAATGCAAGCACTTTGACTCCTAAGCCTGGGTTCTTAAACATTAAGCCATATTGTATTCCTAGTAATTCAAAGTAATGTTAACCACAGTGACAAAAATCACTACCAGTCTTCTGATCCCTAATACAATGATTTTATATCAGACTGGATATATTGTCCTGGTGAACTGTAATTTTTGGTTAATCTTTTTGTGGTAAAGAGTAATAACTTGGTAGCTACTTGCATTAATAAGTACATTTATGTTCTTCTGGTTAAACCATCTTAGTTTTTATCACTGTAACAGAATCTGTTTCTCCCTCAACAGAACCATGATTTTGTTTAGACAGCAATTGAGCCCAGACCTAAGAGATACACAATGGTCATAATTATTGGTATAAACCAGCCGTGGGCAAACTACGTCCCGCAGGCCGGATCCGGCCCGTTTGAAATGAATAAAACTATTGAAAAAAAAAGACCGTATCCTTTTATGTAATGATGTTTACTTTGAATTTATATTAGTTCACACAAACACTCCATCCATGCTTTTGTTCCGGCCCTCCGGTCCAGTTTAAGAACCCATTGTGGCCCTCGAGTCAAAAAATTTGCCCACCCCTGGTATAAACCAATCATGAAAATGTAACAGTCCTTTTGTCAGTCATTGTCTAGGGTTGAGTGGATGAAGCAGTTCAGACAAATGGAGTAATAGGGTTTCTGGAAAAAGATTTTTCTCCTTTCTTAAAAAAAAGAATATAGAAAAAGATGTTGCATTCAGGATCCCTTTCTTCTTTCCTGGTTGAGACACTAATTGTGTGAGAACATAATGATAAAAACTGAAATAGCCATCCTAGAGAGACAAGGATGGAAAAATCCAGAAATTATTGCTTATTATTTTCAGTATCAATAGAATTTGTTTTACTATTCTGTACAGCGCAAATTCATCCCAATGAAAGAGTAAAAATATAATCAGTTAGTTCTGGAACTCAGCAATACAGAAGGAATGCCAAAAGTAGAATTCAAACTCTGGGTTCTGGAAGAGCTTGGACACTTTCCAGCTCTATGAACTTTAGTATTCTCACTTCATATGGAGACATTACTAATGTTCCCCAAATCTAGAAAACACACACACACACACACACACACACTTTCCAGTTCTTTATACAAGTAGGCTCATTTGTAGGCTGAAGCAATCAAAAACCCATGTATTCCTTAGTCTCTCTTGCCAAGCTCTGACAACTGTGAAGGGCTTATGTTGAAATGGCAAAACCTCTGAGGTAAACAGATCATTTTAAAGATATTGGAAATGATGAGAGGCTAAGTCTTTTAATCAAGGTAACACAGGTTATGATGAGGTAACAATCTCAATCTCAATGGCTTAATGCAATCAGTTTATTTCTCCGTTATGAAAATTGAGCTACAGGCTTGGACTGTCCTCCAGGACAGCTGTCCTCCATGTGGTATTTCAGAATCTAACTGGCCTTAACGCTATGGATTTCTGTTTATTTGTTTTTTAATATATTTTTATTGATTTCAGAGAGGGAGAGAGATAAACATCAAAGCTGAGAGAGAATCATTGATCGGCTGCCTCCTGCACACCCCACAGTGAGGATCAAGCCTGCAAACTCCCGCATGTGCACTGACTGGAATTAAATGTAACTTCTGGCTCATAGGTTGATGCTCAACCACTGAGCCACCCCGGCTGGGCTTAACCCAGCCGTGGGCAAACTACGGCCCGCGGGCCGGAACCGGCCCGTTTGAAATGCATAAAACTAAAAAAAAAAAAAAAAAAAAAAAAAGACCGTACCCTTTTATGTAATGATGTTTACTTTGAATTTATATTAGTTCACACAAACACTCCATCCATGCTTTTGTTCCGGCCCTCTGGTCCAGTTTAAGAACCCATTGTGGCCCTCAAGTCAAAAAGTTTGCCCACCCGGGGCTTAACCCTATGGTTTTGCTTAAAAAATAATAATGACCATCTAAGGGTAATCTTTTCTTTTTTTTTAGACTTTACTGTGAGAAAAAATGCCCTACACAGAGAAAGAAACTCTAATTGGTATTAAGTAAGATCTTCATACTTCTTTGTTCTATCAATAAGAAGAAAGTTTGACTGATGCTAACAATGTCTGGGCAATGTTCAGAACTCATATACTTTTTGCTTCCAGAATACAGGATGAAAACTACTCATTTCAGTGAATGCCCATTTTGGACGCCCATAAATTTCCAAATCTTCACCACCTACCTATATAGCAAAATATAGAATTCACTAAGAACACTCACTCATTAGGCAACTACTTATGCAGAGGCTACATAATGTTGTACATAATGTTCAGGACTGGGTATTTAGCAGGGAATAAGACAGACAATGAGCGTCTTCTCATAGAGATTATATATTCATTTTAGGCAGCCGACTAGGGTTCCTACTCCCTTGCATATATATTTTTCAATTTCTACAGAGAGAATCAAATTGTTGTTTGGAATACTTCCAGACTCAAAGTGGAAGTTATTTCTAGTCACATACTCAATATAACTGAATTAGACAAAAACAAAACAATTTGGAAGTTTAATGGGCTTTAAGTATTTTACAAGTAAAATATTTTCAATGTTACCTCCTATCAGTTAAAGAAATTATGATTTATCCTCCCCTCCTTGGCGAAACCAACTAATGCTGGTGTGCTGTCGGACATACTGTGGAAGTGGGGGTCCACATGGGGATTCAGCGAAATGAGTAGTTTCCATCCTGTAATCTGCAAGTAAACAGTATATGAGTGCTGAACATTGTCCAGTCATTGTTAGCATCAGTCAAGCTTTGGACATTATGTAGACAACTAAATTTAGGATTTAGATGGAATGAATGCAATAGATACAGGTTAAAGAGTTCAGTTTTTCTTAGGTATAGTTCAGAATTGGGCGGTTAACACGTGTGAGTTATCTAATAGAATCGAACTGAAAAGACTGTACCCTTCCAAGCTTTACAGAAATAAAAATAGAAAAATCAATGGCAATAAACATTTATACGTAAGAGGTGGTCAAAATTAGGCTTACAGTTGTGAATACGTGAAACGATACAAAAACTGTAAACCTACTTTTTGCCAACCCATATATATATAATTTATAAATAAGGTAGAAGCAAAATGAAAAGGGTGATCCCCCAAAAGTTATCATCCAGCCCATAATTTATAAGAAACATAATACACAGAGTACTCTGCATCTACTCCTATAAACACTGATTATTATTCCTATTAAGTGGCAATATTGTACAAATACAAAAGCTACTAAATAGGAATCCCGCCCTTAAGTAGTTTGCGTTCTAATAGGCACAAGGACAAAGTAAACAGTAGAAAGAGAGAAGTATTAAAATATACTGGGGTTGAGTACCAGATTACTCCTTCTTCAGGGAAAGTTTGCCCTTAGAGGCAAGGTAAAGCGCTTTGGAGGTGGGGTGCTAACTTATAAATAAAAGGGAGCAACTACTTGGTGGTTTAGATCCTCCCAAAGGCACCAGAAGCTTTTAAGACCGTCATCTTCACATCTCTCTCACTCAGGCAGCCCCCCCTACCCTCCCCCCCCCTTGAGAGTGGGCCACGCCAGGCCACTGAAAGCTGCATCGCTGTAAGGTCACCAGGCAGCTCATCAAGGCTGCGCCTCACCTGACAGTCCTGACGACGAAGTACACCAGCACCGCGCCGCTCACCACCATCAGCACGGTCAGAGCCCGCTGGGTCATGGGCTTTTCGCCTGGGTTGGGACTCACAGCGAGGACGCCACCCACTGAGCCTTGTTCCCCCGCCTTCCCCGCCAGGTCATCCGCTGCAAGCGGTCCTGAGTCCGGAGCGGCCTCGGCCGCCTGCAGCAGCACCGCCAGGGGCCCCCTTAACCCTGGCAGGAGCAGCAACAGCAGGAGGGCGGAAGCCAGGAGGCGGCCGAGGCAGCAGCTGCGGTGCAGGGCCCTCATAGTCCCCGACCAGCCTCTCACCACGCCGGAGCCGCCGGGACCGCCGCCCTGGCTCCCGGAGGGACCATGGGCC